ACCATCTCCCTCCTCTTCATAGCGAATGAATACACTTGAAAAGGAATGGACGAAAGTTCCAATAGCGTCCAGGTCCTTAAGTCCAGGATGTGTCTTCAAGTATTAGGGTTCCTTGCTTACAGGGAGAGGTTTCACTACCAGATTCTGACCTCCTCATACCAAAAGGTGCTAAACCTCTGTGATGTGTGTACATTAGCCAACCACAAGCCACTGGAATTCCCACGTCTGGGAGGGCAGAGAGAAGCAGTTTAGGTCTCATGGTACTGTGGAGGCCAGGCAGAAATGGCGCTTCTGAATGAAGTAAGTAGAACCCAGAAAATGTTCTTTTGCAAAGCAACACTTGAACCAAAAGATGCCTACCTGCCATTTTGATGTTCATTTTAGTGAGACAACATATTAGACCTGTTCTACACACCAGGCATATGGAATAAGTTGAGTGTAATTTTTCTGTACGGACAAAGTATAGTTATCTGCTCACTGCTCATGTACACCTGCAGCAGTATCTCTAGAAGCATCCCTCTCCGTTAAGAACCTCCCTTAAATCTCACAACTGACGGATGGTTACTGGAGTAGAGAGTAGATTTGGCACATTTTTTCTTAATCTTTTGATTCAAATTCAACACTTAACAGCACAAACCAGGTCCAAGTTAACTTTAAGTTAGAATGTATTGCCATTTATTCCTTTTTATAAATTTCTATAGATTTGACTGTTATTTTTTTATGTTACTGGTCTAGAGCTACAAACATGGGTATGTCCTGAGTACATTTTCAAATAACTTTGTAATAGGGAAATGGTTTTGTGCATGTCTTCGGAAATACTTGTGTATAGAAGGGAGGGGTTGATTATTTTTCTACAAAGTAATTTATGATTTCTAATTTTCTAATGTGCCTTGGATATGTGCCAAATGAAGGAAAAGAAACAGTAAACTTTATGATTCTTGCAAGTGTCCCAGTATGCTTTTTTTAGTGCTTTGCTATAGAATTATACTTTTTTAGCCTATGCTATGAACATGGGTTTTGTGTGTGAAAATGCCCCCCCTTGGATGGATTGGGTATGTTTTATCTTTTAGTTATGGATGTCTAATTGAGACATGTGAATGTAGTCATTCAAGGGTCATCATCCACCTACTTAACTAGGGCTGGCTTAATCCCATAGGCAGAGTGCCTAGGTCTCACAAAAATGTTTTATTTTCTTTTAAAATCAGAAGAGGGGACCAGCAGGTGGTGCAATGGTTAAGGCGCCAGACTCCCATGTAGCCAACCATGGTTCAAATTCCAAACCCAGCAGGTTGAAACTCAGACTGGGTGCATGTGGGTACATGCCCCAAATCCTGAGAGAATGGAGAAGGAATTGCGGCATGGCCATCCCCTCTGGAGGGGTGACTGCTTTTCTTTCTTTTTTTTTTTTTTTTTTTTGTGTTTTTTTTTGTTTTAGGGG